TTCTATTGGCGTTAAAAGAGCGTTCTCGCAAATCGCCAAACAGCTGTAAGCTTATGATTTTGTTTTGTTTTCGGTATCGCATAACATTCAACGAGTTAGATATGGGTGCGACATTTCAATTAAGTTGGTCTTCATTTGATTCCTCTGCATCAAATAAAATATAAAGCGTATTTTTTTGTTATAGCTCCGACATAATCGTTTGTATCTGTTGACTAAATCGTGTTTATTAGCGTTTTTGAAAAGGTCGTAATAGAACTAAGATAGAAAAATTACTCATTATTACATATTCTATAGTTTCATAACTTTCATTAAATGTATTTCGAGTAGTGAAATTCTTTTCCTACTCATCCACTAATTAGAATTAATAATTTCACAATAACCTTTAATCCTTAATAATGAAATGATTATTATAATAAAGTTTGTTTACTTAAAAGATTAAAAAAATTTTTTTATTGTTTAGCAGAGACTTGGTTTCCAATTCTATATTCATTAATTAAACTTAATGGTTCTGCTCGATAACCATCTCCAAATTTTTTAAAATTTTATTTAATTTTCTGTTATTATGAAATTCTTTAAATATTTTTCGACGTAGAGATTATTTAGCAATAATGCGAAAAGCTGAAATTTATAAATGTATAATATTTATAAATGTTTAAGAGAATTTTTAGCAGCTATTTTGTACTAATTATTTTAATTGAAATGTTCATTATACGCAGTTTTATAATAATAATCGTAAAATTCATTGAACAATTGAGTATTACATTTTAAAATGCAAGTATAATTTAATAATTATTTCATTTTATAACTGCAAAACGGTAGATAAGTAACTTCGTTATAAAGTTTTACATGATACGAGAATATTATACGATTGCTTTATAATGAAAGAACAACAATTTAAGTTTTAAACTTTTTGTGGAAAAGAAAAAATTGAAAATTTCTCCTGTCATCGGTGTTAGCGATTAGAGAGTCTTTTATCGTATAAATATTAAGTCAGTATTGTTCCCTTTTAAATAAAAATGCATTTTGCTCCGGAAAAAAAAATTACTTGAATTTTGTCGATAGAAATTCCCTAATTATAGCAGCAAAAACTTTTAAATTTCTAATCAAACTTTCCTTCATTATAATTTTGTGTAAATAATTATTATTAATAATATAAATGACTATTGAAAGGAATTAATTGAGAATGTCCAATTTTAATGAATTAACTGTTTACGCAATCAGATTAATAATTTTTTTCATAATTTACAAATGGAGAAAAAGTCTTTACAGTTTAAAAGTGAAGAGAAAAATATAGTTGAGATTAAATTTATAAAGTAAGCACAACCCGAAGGAGATTGAAGTAATGGCATTAAAATCGAAATTTCAAAAAAAAAAAAAATCACGTTTTAGTGTACAGTGAGCAGTAAACAAAAATCTAAAACTAACTTTTGATCTAATGATCAGATGTTTACGTTCTAGGACTCAATCTTAATGGATCGAGAGGGTGAATTCAAATATGCCGCTTAATTATAGCAGACAATATATTTTAAGTTCGGAAATCAGACACTAAAACGAGCCTACTTTGAGAAATTTTTTTCCTGCGTATTCGGATTTTTGATCCCCAGTATATAGGGGTTGCCGCAATCTGGAAATATTATCCCAATAGTTTGGTCAGGAAAGCAATGCAATGTTAGGACCCCTTAGTGTTAACCTTACTTTTTGCGCATTTCACCATATCTTGGGAACTTTCAAGTGAATTGAAAATTTTTTACACTCAATGTTTTAATGATCATTTAATTTAGAATTTCCTTAATTCCCTACCACTATTGTAAGATATTTACTTTTCACCTAACTTGTAAAATTAAAAAGTTTAGAATTCTTTACAAAATCACTCAGGCGAAGTGATTGCCTTTTATTTAAATCTTATTTAGAAGGTATTTTTCTTAAAGTATTTCATTTAAAGTTTTTATCATTTTAAGTTGAAATGAATGTCGCTCTGCTTTGCATAATTCAAAAATTATTTCAAAGGAAACATAACTTAACATTAAACAATCAGGACTTACAATTATAAATCAAACAATCACTACATTTATTTATTTAAAAACACTCTTATGAACTGATAATAAATTGATCTAAGTCCTAAATGTGAGTTCTTGTATAATATATAATTTATTTAAACTCAGTATATACATCTGACCTCTGTTGTCGCCAATGGCTCAATTTTAAAATATACTTTTTCTTTTACAAATTTTCTGATATTTTCATATGAAGGATAGTATTAAGTTTGAGAATTGAAAATTTTTGTTTAAAAAAGTTGTTAAAATTATAATTATTATTAATACTTGACAACAGGAAGTTTTCAATTAAAGGTTGAAAATTTTTTTAATTACGTTATTTTTTAATTCTGTTATTTTTTTAATTATGTTTTTAATTACCTAATTCATATAACAGTATTTAGGAATCTATAAATTTATGCTACGTATGATCGTTGCAGAATTACCTGCACCCAATATATGTAAATAAAATATTTTTTTAAAATTGTGCATTTTCTATTAATTTCATTTATTATTCTTATACTGAAAGAGTATCAAGGTATCTATGACCTCCATAATAAATGAAGTACTTACGGACTTTTATATATATTAAGGAATTGAGTCAATTTTTCACGAAGTTAAAGATCTCATCCCATTGAAAAAAAAGTTAAATATTTTTTTGCAACAAATGCTTCTAGTAATAAAACAAACGCGAATAGGTCATCGAAGAAAAATCCCTTCATTTGTACATTTTTCCCTTCTTGAAATTATTTCACATATTTTTTTTTTTCACTAGCGAATTTCTGATAATTTTAAAATTTTAAAAATATCGATTTTTTCATTTGCAAGAAATTTTTAATTTAAAGCGTGATAACATTTTTGAATACTCCAATTTTTTTTTCTAATAAATAATATGTCTTTGTTAATTTCTAAAAAAAAATTTCATGAAAAAGTTTACATTATTCTTTTATCAAGATTGATTTAACAGAGAAAATCACTAAATTAAAACAGGTTGTTTTCTTACAATAAAAGTTAAATAGAATTAATTCTTTAAAATAGCGTTCCAATAAAACATGGTATTAAAATGCTACGTTATTTTTTGTGATTGGTTCAATAATAAATAATTTTTATTTCTTCACAAACACAATTCTCGTAAAAAATATTAAATCTGTTATATCAAAAAACTAGATCGTTTTATAAAATATAAATACAGTTTATTTGTAACGTGATCCTAAGAATAAAAAGGTTATTTTCTTTTTTAATTCTCTACTAAAATGAATTAATGAGTTATTTTTATTCATCATGGCTAGTCGAGGAGGAGAAAAAAAATATTGAATTTCACTGTTTAGGTTGATGTAATTTCGTTCTAACACCACATTTACGCGTAATCCATCGCCAATTCCACTTGAAATCGCCTAGTTTATAATCTACGGTATGTTTTGTCAATTCGCGACCCGTTAGCCTGATGGCAAGGGCACTTTAACCCATTAATCGTTTAAAACTAAGGATATTTTTCTGTGCGGAATTCGTTTCGTCCAATCATGGCTGTGATTCGAACCCGGGTCACCTCATAGGATTAAAAGCGCTCCCCTGAGCCACAGCGACTTTTAAATCAACATTTACGGTTGATATTTAATAATTTTCTGGTAAAAATATTGTAATTAAAAATACGAAAAGCAGTTGTGCACCGCGTTAAATCTGCGCCAGAGAGGCAAAAAAAAAATTTATAAATAAATAATTCTTTTAACTCCAGCTTCTTTTACCAAGATAGAGTTAGTGGCACTGTTTTATTATTATTATTTTGTAACGAAATTCATGAAAATATTATTTTAAGTAGTTAAAGTAGTTAAAAAATATTATTCAAGAGGAATGGCAATTGTAAATTCTAAATTGAAGTAGTAAATTGTAATTGCAAATTTTAATTGTAAATTGTAATAACGGTGGTAATTGCAAACTGCTATTGTAACTTTCATAATAGTGTAATGGAATTACAATATGAAATTGTAAAAAGAATATGATAATTCAAATCTTGACACAGATTCCGACAATCCTTGAGTAATAATTTAAAAAATTACAATAATAGTTTCAGAAGAATGATCTAAAAACTTTGAACACTATTATTTTTTTAATAGTTTGTGTTGAATATAAACGCAAATGTTACACATATATTTTGAATTATGAGTAGGCAAAAATGCAAAATTCACTTTTTTATTAATCCATGAAAACTCAATTATTAAAACTAAATTGCGTGAATATGAATCACGATGTTTGATGTTAAGTCGGCATGATTACTAATCGTAATATTCAAATTTAATATAGCATGGGTGCAAATCAAAGTTTGGTTTTAAGATCATGTGACTAAAAATTTCGATGCGCTATTTTAAAACGGCTGAATGCGAATCACGATGAGTAATTTTTAAATTCCGTGGTACAAATTCCAATGTGTTATTTTTAAATCGCGTGAGTTCAAATCACGATGTGCGGATTTTAAATTTTATGATTAGAAATCGCAATATTTGATTTTAATATCACGTGTATACGCGATGTGTTGTTTGCATACGAAAGAAATTGCTGGATGATTTTCTTAAGTGATTAAAAACCCAAAAAGATTTCTCATGAAAATACAATCTTGAACCAGATTGATATTGAAGGATCATAAAACCGTGAATCAATTAAAATCTGTCATACACAAGTCGATGGTTATATAATTATACAAATTTCAAGATATATGTTCCTAGAGTAACTAAATAAAAATTTAATTACTGTATATTATTAAATACTTGATTTCCATTCAATATATAAAATTTTAAAAAGTAAAATAAATTTCTATTGAAATTCAATTTATCCTTTGTTGTTGGAAACAACTGAATTTCTTTTAATCAAAATTATTGATGTAAACATTTAAAATTATTAGCTTAAAGAGTTATAAAATGAAAAAAAAAAAAGAAAATGATTAGACATATATACAATTATAAAATGGAAACTTACTGAGATTTAACACCTTTATGATATTGTTGATTATTGTCATCATCACTTCACGTTAAATTACTGAGATAGAACATGTTTTAACCATCGAAGTTTGTGAAATTCACCTCTACTCCACAACACGAGAAAGAATACTGCTTTGGTTTTCTAGGGTTGTTATATTCTTTCTGTCTCTATTTTGAATTTCCGGACTAAAATCGCCAATTCAAAATTCGCCAATTAAAAAGTTTGAACTATAAATGTTAAAAAGGATTTTTTAAATTTAATGTTAGAAAGAATTATTTTCTTGAAATATATTGAAATAACTTGTGAAGTGCTTTACCATTTTTAACAAATACTGACAAAAAACAGAACTAGATACTGTAAAGATATACAGTCTGACTTTTATTTAACGAACTTCCATTTTGCGAATTTCTCTATTTTGCGATTTTTTTTTCGAGGAACCAAGAATATTTTGGAAATTTCTTCGTCAAATAAATTACAAATAACGAAGGGAATTTTCTACTCAACGAACTTTTCTTTGAGATTCACTTTCCCTATTTGCCCAAAATATTTCAGTACATTTCAAAGGCATTTTATGGGGGAAATGACCTTGAGTTGATTTTCAAAGCCACTTAACTGTTAGAGAACTCTTTCCCTTTTTGTTTGTATTTCAAACGAAAAACTGAGACAAAATTAATTGACTTTATCAGTAGTAATTAAACTTAAGAAAGCATGTGGTAATAAATGTTAAAAATTACTTTCACAATAAATGCAACTATAATTTTATACATAAATTTATTTTCTTTTAGTAGAAAATTTATGTAGAATGTATGAAAGTGTAACACTGGATAATGTTTTGCCCGATTCTTGCCTTCCATGAAGATTCCTTACATGGTTAAGATTTATAAAATGAATAGTAGATACTAATTTACAAGATTAAGGTGCATCAACTGCTATTTTAATTATGCCTTGTGTTTATGAATTTAAAATCTGTTTTGTTTCAAAATTGATTTTCTATTTAACGAATTTTCTATTTAACAAACTTATAATCGGGATTTAGCTACTTTGTTAAATAGAGGTCTGACTGCATTTTATTACGCATTTCTATCGTATAGTTGAAAACGTAACGCATTTTTTAAAAACAGATGATTTTATATAGGTTTACTGTTCTCTCTCTCCAAACCTTGTTATTGAGTTCAAATTTCTCTTGAAATTTTTCTTTTAATTTGCTCCCTGCTTCATCAGAATAACAAAAACTCTTACTCGTTTGTTGAACTTTTTTTTAATCATTTTGATATTTCAATTTTAGAGGGGGTTACATAGTCCACACTTTAATTTGAAAATGAGAGAAACCATTTAAACCAGATTTCCATTTAAATATATATTACACCAATGAAGAGCAGTGGTGGCTTAAGGGATAGAACGCTCGCCTCCCAAAGAGGTGAACCGGGTTCGAATCCCAGTGGTGGCTGAAACGAATTACGCACCCGACTCACGCAGCTCACGGTGCTGACGTTACATTTCCTCAATGATAAACGAACCATGGATTAAAGTCCCCTTGCCATCAGACTAACCTTGGGAAATGTTCATGGTTTTCCTCTCCGTGTAACGCAAGGGCAGGATAGTTTCATTAAAAAGAGTTCCACGAAGGCTTATTCGAGGTATTACCAGGATTGGGTTTAAAATTACGAGGCTACGGAGTTGAACATTAGTAGCCGTGAACTCAAAAATGGAGTCGGCTGTTCAAACGAAGGTTATAAAAAAATACATCAACAAAGAGCCGCTTTAGCTCAGGGAATATAGCGCTTGCCTCATAAAGAGGTAACAGGGTAACAATCCCAGCGATGACTGATCATTACGAATTCCGCACCCGTCCTGCACCAATCACAATTCTGACGTAAAATATTCTGAGTAATTCACGGAATATGGATTATCCGTCGTGTTAACTACGGGAGGTTCTTACGCTGCTTATGCTGGTTTATTTCATCAAACAATCCTTCACGAAGATTAGTTTGCCCCAATACTCTATCCCGAAATTCCCTTGACTTCTGGGGTAGATTCAAAATTATGAAGGATACGGAGTTTCAAAACAAATATAAAAAAAAATTGCAAGGCTACATTGATTGTTGGATCGGAATTGGAAATATAAAAATACATTAACGAGGTTTTCTCCAGCATAAGCAAAAGATGGTTTGCTTATGTTTATTTATTTCAGATATCTGTACCAAAAAGTTTTATCACATATTACACATAAATAAATTTTCACTCCGGAATGAAGAATATTATTTACTTTTTGATCAGCCCTCATTACAAAGAAGCAAATAATGCAATTTCCCCCTAGTATGTACAAGATAGTATCTTTTTAAATCAGATTTTTTTTTAGTAAAAGATTTATTACAAACACAACTCTAATGAGGTTTTTCCCCAATATATGAACAGTGTGCAAAAAAAAGAAAGAAAAAAAAAAGAAAAGGATGAACCACCCTGAAAAATGTTTGACTTAATGATTGTATCTTCACGTTCTAGGACTCAATCCTAATGATTCCAGGAAGTGACCTTAAATACGCTAATTAATTAATGAGGTTGATGTTTTAAGCTAAGCGGACGATATTTGAATGTCGTCCAATCTGTTAAAAAAGAATGGCCAAAAAGACAATCATGACCCAGGCACCAGAAACGTTATTCGAAACAGCCTAGTCGATACAAAAAAAGTATTGTTACCCCCTCTACATATAAATTTCGGTGAACCGCGATTTTTTAGGCGATAAAGCGTTTGTCTTCCAATGAGGCGAACCGGGTTCGAATCCCAGTCTATACGAATTCTACATTCAGCTTGCACCACAGTGCTGACGTGAAATATCCTCAGTAGTAGACGGATCATGGGTTAGAGAACCCTTGCCGTCAGACTAACTGGGGAGGTTCTCGCCGTCTTTATCGCTATGTATCCCAATTACGGGCTTGCTCCATCAAAAAGATCTCCTCGAAAGCAAATTTTTCCCAATACTCGATCCAGGAGTTCCCTTGTCTTCTCGATTGAGTTCAAAATTACAAGGTTGCGGAGTTGAACATTAGTAGCCGTAAACCCATAAAATAGGATAGGCTCTTCAACAACGGTTAGAAAATAAAAAATAAAAATATCAAGTTCGGTGTAATGAAGCAGTTTGTCAAGGTTCCTTCAAACGATGGCGATTCATTCGAATACCTGTGCAAAAGGTTGAAAGAGGGAAACTTTGTTGGTCCAGATACCCACAAACTCATGATGGATTTTGAGACTATAATGACAACAACGGAAAGAAGGCTTGTCGTGAGTAAGTTTCTGGAGGTAATACAATTGAGTATGAAGCTATTGCAATGAAAATGCTGGACAGATTTAAGACTTTGGGTTCCTCCGTGAGCAGGGCCGGATTAAGACCTCTTGAGGCCTTAAGCACTGAAAATATTTTGGTGCCCCCCTCAAACAATTAAAAATATATCTACTATTAAGTCAAGTGTTGATTCAAAATACAAAATCAAAATTTTTTTAAAAGAAAATATTTAGTCAAACTAAAACAAAAAAATTAAAATTATATAATCAATTGAAAACTTTTCAATTAATATGAAAAAAATTACGCCCGGTTGCTGAGCGGTGGAGCTTCGCGCTGTATGCCACGGGTCCCTGGTTCGATCCTCGGGCCGGGCAAGGTTGACGCAGCCTTTCATCCCTTCAGTGGGGCGATAAATGAGTACCAAGCATGCTTGGGAACTAAACATTGGGGGTTCTGCGTTCGGCTGACTACCTGACCGGAACATCTGCTCCTGCACCACAGAGCCCAAGGTCAAGAAAACTGAGATGGGCACAGTAGGCCTTGGCTCTCTATATATTATATGTTAAAATAACCAACTTTGAAATACCTTCTACTAGATCTTAGTACACATTTTAACACGAAGAAGAAGAAAAATAACTTTTGAATTTAAAATTTCGGTACAGGCTAAGATGATAAAAGAAAAATTTTGAAAATAAATATTTTCTAAGTGGAGGTACATCAAAGTTAACCATTATAACAAAGCTATTTATCAAACACCTGACTTTAGCTTTTCTTAAAAACAAATTAGTGATTTCGTTTGAACAAAATTAAACTTATATTTCATTAATCTGCCTTTAAAAACCTGTTCAAATTTTAATAATTAAAATTATTTGCCCAATGAAATGGAAGATTCCTCAAGTAATGTTTATAAAAACATTTTCATTTTCAATAAATATTGGGGAAAAGGAAGATGAACAAATTTAAATAGAATAAATGGTTACTTACGTCTAATCTAAAATTTCTGCACGAGTCTTGTTCCTCTTTATATGACCGTTACTCTAAACTTTTCTTTCAAAATAGTCACAAAAATCAAATAGTAAAATATTAGATAAAGATAAATAAAAAGTAAACAATGCGAAAAAAGTAAAATAATTTAAGCACGAACCAAGTTGAAACAAAATACTGTAAGCAATACTGTAAGCAAATGTAAAGGTGTAAAGTATTTACCAAAATGTTTAATTTGTGTGTATATACGGGGGTGTGTAAACACGAGAAATTAGTTACTAATTGTAGCTTAAATAATGTTATGGGTTTAAAATTACGTCAATCAAGAAACTTTTCTTTTTCTAGAACAATTTATTTGTATCTTAACCCCCCACCCCACCCCTCGAAAGGACGACAATTTTAATTTTCTGAAATATGGACCCCTTTCTCTAAAAAAAAAAAGGGAAGGGGGAATGAGTCACCTATAGGATGCTTAAAGATATCTGAGATAAAAGGATGTTCTCTGTCTGTGATAAATCAATTGGTTGCACTTGTCTTGACCTTAAAGTGGTTCTTCTCAGAAAATTTAGCTTTGTATTCTAACACATATGTTGGTAACAATCACGGTGGTCCTTTTGAGTAGCCTTTGAATTCATCTAATCGAATGCTGGCAATTAACATCTTTTGTTGTTATACGGCGGGGTTGTTAGATACACGCAGAAAGCAAGATCAGGTTAAATTGGACCACGTTTCCCAGCAGTCTGATGCTTATAATAAAGTAACAGGAACAACAATATTTTTCCCTCTTATTTATACAGAATGACCAATTTTTATTTTAAGAAAAGTTATATGGACAATGGAAATACGTGAATTAATTATTTATTTA